GTCCGCACAGCCGCGGAGCGACCAGAGAGAGGTGTTTTGATTTTTTTATTTCTAAATTCTTGCGGAACCCCGACAGAGGTATCACGGAACCCTAGGGTTCCGCGGAACACACTTAGAGTATAGCTGATCTAGACAGTGATACCCCACTCGACATATTTTGTCAACTTTTACTTCGTCACAATAGTGACGACCTCCGTGGCCGAGTGGTTTGTACGCCGGGTTGCATGGCTGTCGCCGACTCGAGAGGTCCCGGGTTCGAATCCCGGTGGGGGCAGATGTTTGTGTGATGAATACGAGCATTTGTACTCCAGTCATGGATGTTTAATATGTATTTATATAAATATACTTATATTTATGTACAGTATATGTATTCTATCCGTTACCCTAGCATCCCATAACACAAGCCTTATAGTGCTTACTTTGGGGCTAGGCTAATTGGTGTGAGTGTCGGAAATATTTATTTATTTATTTATTTATAGTGCGCCTAATTTTGCCCATATTGAATTTTGATTACTATCATATCTTTAGTAGCACTCCCATGATTGAGACGAATCGATTGATGTATGAATCATCAAAATCGGTCCAGGCGTTTGGTCTCTAGTGTGCCACAAAGGAACAAACATACATATATAGACTGTTAAACACATAACCCTGTCTGCGCGTCGCGCTTCGCGCTCTTGCATTGCGCAGCCGGGTAAAAAAGGATATCCTTACCTCATGCTACAGCTGATTACAAATATTATTGGAGACTAGTGATAAGACATACCCAAAGCATTTACCATTGTACAGTTTATGAGGAACAGATAATAACAATAATTAATTCATCATCATCAACCCATGTTCGTCCACTGCTGGACATAGGTCTACCCTAATGCACGCCACTGCTCCCGATTTTGTGCTACTCTCATCCAGCCCACTCCAGCCAGCCTACGAATATCATCCCATCTTGTCTCAGGGCGCCCTACGTTTACCGAGTCGTGGTCACCACTCAAGAACTTTCCGGTTCCAACGGCCTTCAGTTCTGCGGCTAATGTGACCAGCCCACTGCCACTTCAGTTTGCTAATTCGGTGGGCTATGTCGGTGACGTTGGTTCTCTGTCGGATTACATCATTTCTGATGCGGTCCTTCAGGGATACTCCGAGCATGTAGCTCTCTGAGCGACTTTAAACTGGTGCACTCGTCCAGCCGTGAGTGTCCACGTCTCGGCGCCGTATGTCATAACTGGGAGGACGAACTGGTTAATAATTAATTTCATTCATCCATTCATAGTAGATACTACTAATCGCTCTAAGGACTGGCTGTTAACTGCGCTTTTTCATTTTAGTATGCAGCAGCGTGTGAACAGTGTCACGCGGTTTCATACTAGAATGAAAATGAAAACCAACAGTGTGTTTGAATGTTAAGTGCTCTCCTACAATGGCATAACATGGATAAAATATTTTTTTTCATAATATAGTCTACTCTACCTACTACTACAACTACTATAACTAGTCTGGCCTTTCTATTTTTTTTCTTTTTTTTTCTAAATGGCTTCGCACGGCTTCTGCATTTAGCCAATGTCAAGTTTTAAATGTAGGTATACAAATACTATAGCACTCGTGGTCAAAGTAAGTGGCAGTCAAGTCAGTCCCCCTTTCCCCATGTTTCAGTAAAAGTGAGGGGATTTACTGGAACCTCCCCGTTGACTTCTAGAGGGAACGTCGAAAGATACTTTACGCTATTTTGTTTCACTTGCCAACACTTGTTGCATGTTCCCGAACACTCAGTGGTTAATAATCCACCATTATTAGACCCTAACATCCGCCACAACACAATTTTGAACAAGAAAAACAAAACTGCTAAAGTGACACTTCCCGATCCCGCCAAAAAGTCCCCTAGTCTGGCCTTAAATACTGTTACTACATTCAAGCTATTCTTTTTTTCAACTTTTCAATTATTTTGAATTTGGAACACGTAGGTATATTATTTTAAAAACGACTTTGATTTTGCGCCATTTCACATATTTTTTCGTGTTTATTATCAAATTACAATATGGAATGGAGTGTTAAAGAAAATAGGATTGCAGTGATGGCCTTGAACAAAGTGGGTATGGAGCCGTTCAGTCATATTCCAGACACTTCAAAAGCTTGGTATAGATCGCGCCAAACTTCTAGTCCGCTCTGAAGTTGTTTCGCGCAGGTGTACAGCCCTAAACACAACTTTCGTCCCTTTAAATACGTACTACGACGCGAATTGTGCAGTGTTCAGAGCGGACTAGAAGATTGGCGAGATCTATACCAAGCTTTTGAAGTGTCAGGAATATGACCGAACGGCTCCATTCCCTACTTTGTGCAATGCGATCACTGCAATCCTATTTTCTTTAACACTCCATTCCATATTGTAATTTGATGATTTGGTACTATAAATTCGGGATAAAACCAAATTTATAGTATAATACTTACACAACATTTTAGATGTTTTGAAACTCTGTAGCACAGAAATCAGGATTAGTAGTGAAGAAATTTGCAAAGTAATATACTATAAATTTATCGCAAACGTATAAAAAGCTAATAATTTGACCTTCAGATGATTACATAGCATACACAAAGTTGACGTCACACAGTAGACGTTATCGAATCAAGTGTTTTGGCAGTATATTCAAAACCATTAAAAATAAATTCAACTTCAATTGGTCTAATAGAGAAAAAAGGACATTAATTAATTTATTTTTATTTTTCTGTTAAATCGTTTGTCCGTTTGTTGTTTGTAAATACAAACAGTTTTCAAAAATTTTGAAAATACCCTATTAAATCTCCATTACCACAGTTAGCTTAGTCAAAAGAATAACTTAAAAAAACTGACGAAATAATTGAAGGCCAACGCAACAGGTCCTTTCACTTTCAACTAATCATAGTGCTTCAATAGCATAAAGACAATACATCTATTGACTGCATCTTTGGGATTTGAGAAAGTGATAGCTTTTAGGCAATTATTTTATATATTTTTTACAATTAGTACAAATATGCTATTAAATGGTATAATAATGTTCGAAGTTCGAAGTAAAGTTTGAAAATACCATATTTTATCCATACAAATAGGAAAATGCAATTATTCAAATCAATATACTGAATTAATGGCATACTGATGGAACAGTAGCAATATTGCCTACTTGTTAGACTGACCTAGGTTCAAATCCTGGTAGTGAAATTGATTTAGTGTGATGAGCAAAAATTCTATCTGCCAAGCCATGTGCATTTTAAAATGGAACTAAGTATTGTGGTGAGCTGTCTAGAAGGTAATATGTAAAAAAAACACAATAAAGATAGCAACAAAAATAAAATAACAACAGTGAGCAACAATATGGAGAGAGAAAATTCCAATCAGGACCCTGCCTCAGCTTAATGCTGTTATAGTAGGAATGGAATATTCCTACCATATCAGCGCTGGTATTCTGGCAGGGCCTGTACAATTAAAAAAGTAATTTCCTTATAAACCTGATTTTGGCTTGATACTCTTAAATAAAAATCAAATTAGACAGCAGTCTTTCACATATTTTTTTATTGAGGATGATGAGGATATAGCTAACTGTGCCTACTCTTCATTCTCTATGTATATTGAGTAACATTGTCAGTTTAGTTTTCTGTTATGATAATTATGCAAAAATTAAACGCCTTGTTTGTGTTACACTAGGTACTTACCTTTAGGAAGCCAGATATTACGTATTTGTTGTTAGTTTTTTACTTTTAATGGTAAATACCTAAGCTTGAGTATTAACACATAAAAAAGTATTACTTACCCATCAGTTGTCACAGAATTGAGGGAAAGTGTCTCAGCAAATGTCATCTCTTGATCCTCCAGCACAGGTTTAATTTCATCAATTGTTTTATCACTGGCTTTAGTCTCAACTGGCTCATTTTGTTTTAAATCTTTGTCTACAGTATCTTTATTACTAACGTTATGGAGGCCAGATAAATCAACTTTTCCATCGATATCAGCCTCAGCTTGTAGAGCTTCGGACACAACCAGCAAGAAAAGGGCACAACTGAAACAGAAAAGGAGCAGGTGACATTTTCCACTTTTCTTTTCAGAAGTAGGAACACTGGAAATCGATTGCACGTTTACTCACCTCGATATGACTGATACAGCCAGTAACGACGTATAAATGATACTCAACCCGCCCTTCATCGTAAAATTAGTGAAATATCCACAGTATAGTTCATTTTGTGCGTAAAATTAACACATTTACAGAACGGGGTAGAAAAAAATTGTAGAATCGATTAATACACTAAATTTGACACACATTATGAGCACGTTTAATACATTATTCACAATACGCAGGTAGAATTTGAGGAACAGCTGGCGTGAAGAAGTCCATAAAAACTGGGGAAACGTACTTTTTCCAATTTTTACTGACGAATCGTATTATTTTGACATTGACAATCAAATCACGGAATTTTGATAATGGCAACCTAATGATAATTTATGTTTAATAGAAAATTCTGATTCGCTGTCATAGACGACGTGGTTTCTGTAAACCAATTACATTTGAACATTTAAGAGAACACTATTTTGTTATTGGCTAAAACGTAGGCTCTAAAGTCCTTTTTACGCAGTATTATTACTGGATAATTTTCGAGATAAATAGTCGCTGACCATGGAAAGGATCCTAAGGAGATAATTTTCTAAACTATTACTTTATCACATCAACATACAGGCAGACAAAACGGTAAAAGGAATAATTTTATGTATTCAGCATCATTCAGCAAACAGGCATTCAGTTTAAAGGACGTCTATAATACAGAAACCTAGAAAACACCTAGTTCATCTAAATAGCTGTTTCACAATACTGTTTCATTTGTGTATCATAAATTACTATTGTGTGATCTTAATTAAGGACGTACTATTATGTCCATCGCTATTCTATGTCTACAGGCTACACGGTAACATTTTAAAACAACAATGCTATCTCCTATTGGTCGTGGATTTTACCTTGCCTACTATTGGTCTAATTTTGGTAACCTATTAGCGACGTCAGAATAAACGTCAACGTCAAAACGTCAGCTCAACCACTTTTGAGCGATTTCCTGCCTAGTTTACAAAAGCCGGACTTTTCAGATTTTTATAATGGAAGCATTATTTGCTTTACCGTTTACAGTTCTCGAAGTACCGAATATAAAGATAAAAAAGCCGACATGGTTGCAGGCCCCATCGGCAATGACAACATTTTCATTAGTGTTACTATCGTACTTTCTGGTTACAGGAGGTTAGCATTAAAACTTCTCCGTAAATCAAATAGGAATCCCATAAGTACTTTATAATTTTAACCACAAGCGTTGCTATTAAACTGGTTTGTAGTGATAACAAATCTGAGTAGCTACGTAAGTTACCAAGATGTTTTGATAAATAATGTCATGTTCTTCATTAATGTAATATTTCAGGTATCATTTACGATGTCATCGTGGAGCCCCCGAGCGTCGGATCAACGACTGATGAGCATGGTCATAGCAGGCCAGTCGCATTTATGCCCAACCGGGTAAATGGACAGTACATTATGGAAGGCTTAGCATCCAGTTTTCTGTTTTCACTTGGAGGCTTGGGTTTTATAATTCTCGACCGCACACATAACCCATCTACACCGAAACTGAATAGGATTTTGCTCATATCTGTTGCATTCCTTTGTATACTGGTATCTTTCTTCACTACATGGATCTTTATGAGAATGAAATTGCCAGGTTATCTGCAAAATTAGCATTAATACATAAGCTAAAGTTTATACTTTATTATATTTCGTTAAATAAATATTTTTATATTGCTTTAATGGTGTTGATTATTTTAGAATTTATTTCAATAGACTTAAAGAGCTTCCTAATCTAAATCCACAGAAAAATACAATGATCAGTCTATGCAGGCTCAGATGAAGATTTCTTATCAGTGACAAGGAAACTTGTAATTTGATGAGTCGGAAACTATTATTTCAGACATCTTGAGCAACTAAACGTATAACTGTTAAACATGGTGTTTTATAACAATTAATTTGAATAGATATATACAAATTTTCTTAATTTGACCACAAAAAGGTGTGCTGGCATGATTCTTGCAGTTTAATAAAGGCTAGAAAGAATTTGACTCTGCCATCAGGGCCGTGGTAGCAGAATGGTCATTGCATTCACCCAGATAGTGAAGGATGCAGGTTCGAGTCCTGTCTGCTGCCTGTTCCATGTGGATTTTTTTCTAGTAATATTTTCTTTACATGTAAACATTGAGCAGTTACATGCTTAAAATAACAAAAATTAATTAAAAAATTTTGGGCACCATTCCTGATGGCGGGGCTGGGGGTTATATATTTTTTATTTTGTAAATTATTTATTTATGTAGGTTAAGCTATATAGTTTTTAAGTTTGTGTTTTTAAGTTTTAATTTTAATGTATTGTAATATAATCTTTTTATAAATAATCTGAAATAAACAACTAGTAGGATAGAAAAAAAATAATAATAATGATTCTCCAAACTTAAAACTAAATTTAACACCAGTCTCTCTTTTTCTCTTTCTTTGTAAAGAATGAGAAGGATACTCCGTCGTCAAATTCAGAATCATGACACCAATATTTGTTTTATTTTGGATACAGGTTTCAAATGAACAAAATTATCATAATTCAAAATTTATTTGGCAGTACATTATTCAATAGTCTTACATTTAGGTACTTAATTCATAATAAAATTGTATAAAATGAGACAATTTAATCAACAGATTCATACAAGAGTAAATATAAATTTTATGATTACTTATTATAAATTAAAGGAAGACTAAGACAACATCCTGTCAACACAAATTTCATTTCACTTAATATACAATATTTCTATTATAAAAATGCAATAAAAATAATTTCTAAAATATTAAGATCATAGTTAATAAGATTCAAAATTCTATTTGTAAAGTGTAATATAAAAATTCTACTGAGCTTTTGTGAGCCATAAATGGTTAGGTACTTGAATAGAAAAAGGTCAGAAGTTATTGACCAGTGTAAATGAAGTTGTATCTTAAACGGTATTTTCATTTTATCATCTACTGAAATGATTTACATGCACAATTTATTTTACTTTTAAATTATTATTTTTTTCTAATTCAATATCAATTTTTACACTGAAAATACAAATTACAAGGCAATGACAATACAAATGCAGCGCAAAAATCCGCTCCAATCGCCGGGGCGCATCGGGCCGCATAATCCGCCGCGGATTTCGGTTGCGTTGCGTGCGATGCGATGCGTCCCGCCCCTCTGCGCTCTATCTAATGTGCTAAGTACGCATTTTGCGATGCGCTGCGGTCCGCTCTGGCCTATTATGCGCTATTCTTGATACTTGTATCAATTAATCTAGTGAATGTATGTTATTTAATTCGATATAGGTATGAAAATATGGTAACTTTGGCTTGACCGCTAGTTATTCAAGCTTAAATAACCTGATTTTTAGCCTCTAATCTGTCACATATTAGGATGGTAATTACGCATCAAAATCATGAGATCTATTGATACTTTTATAAGGCCACCACACCTTTCTATTCATAGTCGTATTCTGAATGAACTGAAACAAAAATAGGAGAACTATGTTAGATATCACTTTATAAACAAAACATGTATTACACATCAAAAATAGTTAAATTACATACTTTAAAGCAGCGGTGCTCAAACAATCGACCTACGAATATCTATATTTGCTACGGTACACCCTACCTAGGTAGGTACGTAGGTTGGGTGTAACATGTATGTACGACAACCCTGCATCACACATACTTGCAACCTCTCAGAGTCGATCGTAAGTAGTCTAAAAATTTTAAGGTACATCGCCAGCAGTTCAAGTTTGAGAACCCCTGCTTTAAAGGAAAATATTGTCTATAATTTTAATTAATATTAGACAAGCAATGAAAAAACATGGAATTAGTTGTTCCTAAATGTCATTGATGAAACATTGATTTCATGAGATACCATCAATAATGATAAAATATGTTATTAAAAATGGAAAATATGCTCACTACATATCTCAGAAATCATTTTTGTAATGTTGCTTTTAAAATCAATTTATTGAGAGCTAAAATTTTAACATTTTGTGTGATGTATAAAAATAAATTTCAGTTGTATAACATTTTAACCCAGCCCTACTATATTTAAAGACTCATCTTATGTTTGTCTCATTGTACTCTCATTCTCATCGTAATGCTAAATCAAGTAAAGTATATATTGAATTTAGATTGTTTTTGTTATTTTCTCTCAGACTTACTGGCAAAAATCAGAGCTTTTGTCAATAATATGTTCAAATTCTGCAAAAGACAATGCACCATCATCATCTAAGTCTGCTTCTTCCAACACATTCTGTACAAGTTGCTGAATCTCAGAATCGCTAAGCTTCAAATCGGGACCACAGAGCCGTTCAATCACTTCTCGCAAATCTGACACACCAATCATGTCATCACCATCAAAATCTGTAAGTTAATAAAGGGATAGGTAAGTTTTAAAATATTCACATGAGAGTTGAATTTGTTTTATTTATTACAAGAGAACATGCAGTATTGGTTATATATATTGACATTAACTAAACATACTAATAATATTACTTTATCAATCTATCTTCCTGGTACATCCAGAGTGGGGCTTGTATAATAACTATACCATACTAACCAAATATTCTAAAGGCATGTTCAGCTTTTACAGCTTTCGGGGCCATTTCACTAAATACAGACATCATGTCCAAAAAGTCTTCGAATGTGCAATCTCCATCATTGCTTGAACTGAATACTTTGCAAATGCGATCTCGGAAGGGGTTTACTCGCAGTTCAGGATACTGGAGTATCTTTGCCATGGGTAGTTTAGCATTTTTATTGTGACCAACTTTTTCTGGCGCTAACGCTTTAAACTTCTGATGTGCACTGTAAAGTTTCAAAAGGTAAGAACAAGAACAATGAGAACAATTTGGGTATCTAAATATTTGGAACACCAAACTAATGAAAATACTCACAATAAAACCTCTTTTTTTGTAAAGTATGTCAGATCCTGAAACAGTCCACATGAGTTTGTTGAGAATATAGTTCATATTTTTGATAATTTAGATACAGCTAGATGCTCGCACTGCTTACCTCGTAATCCTGTAGTTCTTCTTCAGTAAATTGGCTTTTGCCTTGGCCCATTTCAGTAACAATTTGAGATTCTATAATAATATTTTTAAAGTAAACAAAAAACAATGCAAGTTGGGTTGGGTCTTTATTTTTTTATTTACTCGAACGGGAAGGCAAAGGTAAAAAACAAATTTGACACTGACAATCATTTACTTTTGTATTCTTTTTCAAATAGGAAGGCAAAAGAAACTGCGTCCATACAGCATTACTTTAAGATATTTTCTTTTACATTGAAATGCATTACATGACGACGTAGCTACTTCCCTCCTAGCCGCGTCGGATGTGTTACTCTATGGATATATGGATGGTGACCAACCTTAAATTAGAGATCCTGCCCCGCTTAGGCAAAAAAACTGACAAATCCTGCCAAAATTTTAGGCACAAAATGCCGAAATAATGCCCATATATCGACAACACTGATTTGTCCTTTTTATGACAAGTTGGCGCTGCTATCAATACAGGTAGTTCCAATTTTGCCCCGCTGGAGAACGGGAGGGCGCTACTATGCATACGGTTGCTTTCCAATTGCAGAGCATAATGCGACTCAGTGGCGCACAATGCCGAATTATGCTGATGCTTAATTGGAACCTGAATTAGTTTTCAAATGCACCAGCAGAGTGCGCTAAGTTCAGTGTTAAAAAAAAAGTCAATGTTTGTACCTTCATCCATACTTATATTAATTTTTTTAACAGTTTGAATTAACTTTGATTGTTTAAAAAAAACTATTTAATGAAACGAAAGCTTTAATAATTTTTCAACAATAAATAATATAACTTACGATAACATATAAATAAAACATTTCGATCAATGCCAACTTAAAGAAAAAACACTTGTTAATTTTCTGTCACTGGGTTGGTACGATTGCACGCATCACACGAATGCATTACTTTTGAGAGTGCTCAATTGTGCGAAGCGTTGCTGTAGTTGGAACACTGAACGTTAAGCATTATGCCGCATAGTGCGCTATAATGCTGTAATTGGAAAGCTACTTAAGTTCCTAGTTTTTGTCACAGGACTGTTCAGTGTTGTTGCACTATACAATTTTGTATACTACTACGCGATATAATCGTTCATATTGACGTTTCATGGTATTATGATAACCATTCGACACACCGCACGAAATCAGAAACAAAATAAAATTTTGTCTCCGACAGTTTTTCTAATCCGACTAATTACATCAACAACTGACAAATAAAAATAACGGTAGGTAATATAAACATTATGCTCCACACTTTAAGGTTTACAATGGAATGAACTACAAATTCGACTAGAGATGTTATGGGAAATCCTCGAAACAAAGGTATCGTTGCCAATGTTGCCATTGGCATTTTAAAATTCCTACATACTGTTTTTTCTTTTGTCGATCCGCACCCTACTCATTAAATAAATAAAAAAAAGTTTAAATTGCTATAGGTATCGACTCTGGCACGATTCTCTAAGTCTAAACTTAAATTTGACAACAGTGTATCCTTGTCATTTTCTATACAGAATGAAAAGGAGAAACTGATGTTAAATTTAGTTTTAAGTTTAGAGAATCACGCCAGAATCGATACCATTAACTGCCAAATACTGCCAGATTTCTAAAACGTCAAACAAATATGCCACAGCGTAAATAAATGGCTAAACCTGCCGAAAAGGCAGGATCCTACTACATATGGTCACCCTGATGGTGCTGCCCGCTGCCTAAGAAACACTATTGTAGAATAAATTCGACACGGTCATGGAAAATAGTGGAACTTTTTCAAGAAAAGAAAAAACTTTAGATTACCGTTATTATATTTTTAAGCATTTAACTGTTGCATTCATAAATCTAAAGAAAATATTAACTTAATAGAAAAAAAAAACACACTCATACCACGCTGCAGTATTCAGCAAGGAGGAGCGAATCAAGGCGTGATAAATAAGATTTTTGAATAAGGAACCTTAAAGTATTCTAAAATTAAAAGTATTCTAAATATTCTAGTTTTTTTTCGTGTTTTTACATAGTACACAAAATACACGGGAACTATTAGAGACAACAAAAACGTGCCAATTCATTCGGTACCTACTGTTTTAAAGAAATTAATGTAAAAATATTTAGTGATTACTTATTTTGACAGTTGCTGACACCGTGTCAACGGGAAGGCTAAGATCGAGATGTAATTGTTTTAGGAATGAGAGTGAAAGAGACTACTTTAGTTCGCTCTAGGGGCGGCTGTTGCCAATAGAAGTTGGAACCGACATTTTAAAATGCAATAACGTTGGTGTATGACCTGTCTATATATTACACGCAAACCCGTCTTTTCCATTGGGCACTTTGGGCAAGTGCCCAGGGCCCCGTGATCGATAGGGCCCCCTATCGATCACGGATCACCTCAGAACAAATACAAAGTCCCTAGTTCCTGTTAAATCACCAAACAGAAGTCATAGGGGCCCCAGTATCCTAATATACCCAAGGCCTCTAATAGGTCAAAGACGGCACTGATTACACGTCATTGTTAGTATAGTTGTTTTGTTCTACTTTTGTTGAGGTAAAAATAGATCCTCTTTTGTATGGTCCATTTGGGAGGAGTTCGCATAAAACCGGTTGTTCATTTTTACAAGAAACTGATTGCCACATGCGATGCTTTGTGATGACAACGCAGTCAAACTTGTCAGCGTATCTTCTTGGATGGCCAGGAGCCCACGCGCGATAAGAGGTGCAGTCAAGATGCCCACCTGCAAAGGATAATTTACCTGATATAAACTTTAAGCGTACCAAATTTCATCCAAATAAGTTCAGCAGTTTTTGCGTGATTCAGTAACAAACATACCTACTTGCACATTTATGGTGTCGATTCTGGCATGATTATCTAAACCTAAACTTAAATTTGACAAGTGTTTTTGTTTTGTTATTTGACAATTCTCTTTACAGAATGAAAAGGAAAGACTGATGTTAAATTTAGTTTTAAGTTTAGAGAATCATGCCAGAATCGATACCTATATCTAATATTAGTAGAATAGGGAGAACAAGGCGTGAATTTTATTTAAATTAAGTTTGACACCACAATGATCAAGATCCGTCGGATAACATCTGAAGGCAAATAACAAAAACGGTAAACGGACTGAAACGAAAAAACCTTAACGTTCTTAAAATCAAAGTCGAAAATGTTTGCATTAATTCGACGAACTACTTCGACTAACGTTTATGTATATTTTTAGAAGAAGGCCTTCTGCTGTTTTGAGTCGTCGTCATCTGTTGTCATCATCAACTTATTAATGTTGCCACTGCTGAGGCACAGGCCTTCCCTATGGATGTATTTAGGAGACTGGGCGACGACTCGAGCCCAGAGCGGATTGGTGGGTGCTAACGACTGTAGATGCGGTCTGGACCAACGGCTTAACGTCCCTTCCGAAGCACGGAATAGCTCTAGATAATAAATTTTTGGTCACCCATCCGATGAACGGGCATTGCAAAAGTTGCTGAACTTTTACGATCGAACGCGTAATTGTGCTCCTCGTAATGAATGTATTCTATCTTCACCTCACCATTAATACCATGGAAACTGCTCCTGTTATTCCTTCTCAAACCGACGAACGCAGCGTCGACGCCCGCTCCGGCCAGCACCTTTTTGAAGTTATACTTCTTTAGGCGCGTTATGAAAAAATGATGAGAGTGAAATTTTTAGATGCGCGCGCATCACTGTAACCCAAAAGTAACAGCATGAAGTTGGCCGCGGGCGCGTTATGAAAAAATCATGTGAGTGAAATTTCGAGATGCGCGCGCATCACTGTAACACAATAGTAACACCATGGAGTTGGCCGCGGGCGCGTTATGAATGTTAGTGTCTAATAATGGTGGATTATTAACTAAGTGGTTAATCAACATCAACATCATCAGCCTCCTAAAGTCCTCACTGCTGGGGCACAGGCCTTCCCTATCGATGTAATAGGGAGATTAGGCCATGACCCACCACGCGGGCCCAGTGCGGATTGGCGGGTGCTAACGACTGCAGGTGCAACCGGGACCAACGGCTTAACGTGCCTTCCGAAGCACGGAGGAACTCGAGATTTTTTGGTCACCCATCCAATGACCGACCACTGCAAAAGTTGCTTAACTACAACGATCGCAGCCGAACGCGGTAACCACCTGCGCCATCGAGCTCCTCAAGTGGTTAATAATCCACCATTATTAGACATCTGTTCGAAAGGTACTTTGAACGATCCACGGAGCTCCATAAGATGATCGCGTTGTCAAAAACAATGTTGGCACGCTCGTCGCCTCTGATCACTGTTTTCATATTTATAATATTTATCCACATGTTTCTAGTTTCTATATAGACACAACGTGTTTTAGTTACTTACAAGTGCTAATTACGTATGGACTAATAACTTAAATTCAGTAGTGATTTTAATTGAATATTTATTTAATTTTTCAAATTAAAACTGAACTTAATTGACTGTGTTAACTATCCTTTTCCAGTCCTTTTATTATTTTATTGTAATTATTAATTATTTGCATGCAATTAAAAAATATTTTTAATGATGCTAAAGAAGTATAACTTCTCACGCGCGTACATAAGTTACACGCATCCATTTTTTTTATTATAGGTACTTAGATAGATATATTTACCATACTAAAAATTATGTTAAAACGACTGATGTTTATAATGAAACTCCCATCATAGTAATATAAGTTATTTACAGGATTTTTACCATGTTGAGCGACTTTCCGATATTTCAGCACTGTTGCAAGCGCCATGATCACGAAGTAACTGGTAGTTACTCCGAAATATCGGAAACTCGCTAAAAACAAGGTACACGGTAACAATCCCGTAAATAACATATTACTATAATGTTAGTGAACATGAAAGTTTAAAACAATACATTGAAACTCCCATCCCCCTTTTTACCCCCCTTAAAGGGTGATTTTTGAAATAAAAACTATCCCATATCCTTTTTTAAACTATCCAAACATGTACCAAATTTCATCTTAATCGGTTCAGCGGGTTAAGCGTAAAGAGGTAACAGACAGACAGACAGGTACACACTTTAGACACACTTACTTACAATTTATAATATTAGCATGGACGAGCCATTGGAGTTAACTACTTTAGTTAAAGGTATAATTAACTTATATTTTTTAATTTTCTCACCTGCGCCAGCGCATCGGTTCGCTGCTCGCTCGTCACGTCTGGAAGCACTCCGCTCATGTTCCGACACTCCACCACCGCTTGGGTGAAGTTTAGCCTTTTCTGTAGCAATCGGAACATTCCTGATGCTGGCACGCATGTTGCATTTACGTGGGCTGTTGGACAAATTCCAATTTATATACTTAAATTAAAACAAAAAGGGTAGATACGGCACTAGCCTCACAAAAGTGATCCGCCTAAATTGTGGTCCACGACTCTAATCGCTTTAGTCACAACTTGACATGTAAACGACGTAAAATGTGAACGCCAAAAAGAAATATTACCAATATTTTGTGTTTATATTATAAAACAATGCCTAAGTATATACTTTTCATTCGTAAGTACTATAAAATATATTTTACCATAAAAATTGCTGTTTGTTTTGAATCTTATTCGGTAGTGACGTCGAGTACTGGTCGCGTGATTGGTCGATAGTGCAGTGACGCGGATCTTGCCGTCTCGTTCGCGCTGCCGTTGAAATTTAAAGTGCTGTTTCGTTCGGGTCGGTAATGCAGTGACGCGGATCTCAACGTCCCGTTCGCGCTGCCGTGGGATCAGTTTTTGATTGATGCAAGTAGGAGCGTACTGTATCTACCCTTTTTGTTTTAATCTAAGTTTTTATATATTTATCCGGCATATTAAGTGGAAATGTACTAAGTATAATGTTACTTACGTATTGGTTTAGCATAAATACTGTAATAATCATATCTCGAGTCATTGACCAAAGACAGTCCCCCGTCGACTTCAGCACACTTCAGAACCTCACATGTGTATTCCAAAGGCTCCGCACCTTCTATAGCAGCGTCGGGTGGGCTAAAATTCAGTGCTAAAGCTTTTTTAGCGATGCCAAGTCTCTGGCAACTAGATAGGGATGCAAAGTTAGCCTTAGCTGCAATGCCGAGCTTGGATCGGTGGCATTTCTCCATTAAATGGTATTTAGGTATCTGTGGAGATTGGTTGTGTTTGTCACAAAGTATGTTGGCCGAAATCGGCGTGGAAACAACGACTAAAATAATTAAAATGGTAAAGCACATACTAAACTGTCGTTGCACAACTTATAGGTAAATCATTTTAATGGTTCTAGGTTTTTAATTTCGGATACGTGTCACTTTTCACTTGGGTAGATTTGTGATAGATAATGAAGTGCCATTTCTCAGAAGAATAACATTTTTTCGGTCTTCAACTCTGTTTCTATGTACATAATTGCACTTTTACATTTTTTTTAAATTGTCCACACGGAACAGCTGATCAATACTGCATATTATTTGATAGATATGTTTGAAAGTATATTTCTATTTAGGAACACTAAACAGTTAGCGAAGCGTACAACAAATTATTTATGAAAAAGGTTGAAGTATGCTTGTAGACCTCAAGTTGTGCAGTCAAAACAGTAACTGCGTCAAGTTTGGTCTAGCTGGGTAATGATGAAGTAGGTACGTACCTATTTATGTAATTGCATTTTCAGATTTTACTCATTACTGACTGTCAACAAGATAAGGTCAGCCTATTATGGCATTCCGGAAACATAATTTGCGACCTCTATTTTCCGCTTACGTGTCGCGCGCGCTCACAGCGGCAGAGAAACATTATTCACAAATTGATAGGGAGGCGCTCGCGATTGTGTTTTGCTTACAAAAGTTAGGTACATCAATACTTGTATGGCAGGCGGTTTACGCTTAAGACGGATCATAAGCCCTTAGTTAGCATTTTCGGATCTAAACATGGGATACCTACGATGGCCGCCAGTCGTATGCAGCGTTGGGCGATTATAATGTCTGCCTATACTTATGATATAGATAGAAGACACGAAACAAAACGCAGCGGACGGGTTATGTAATCATGTTTTGATTTTAAAAGTGAAACTTATTTTTGGACGGTGTGTGTATGGAAAAATCATATAGAAAAGATAAAAAGAAAGAAAGAAAAACGTTTATTGGCCTAAAACATTTACAGAACAACATACATTGAATAAATAAAGAGAAAATCAATAATATAGTGAGAAAGATATAAATAAAAAAATAAAAAGGAAAGGCCAATGTAGGTCACTGCCTCAGCTTAAACTGCTACGACTCTTGGCACAAGGCCGCAGCAGCACTGATATTCTGGCAGCGCCCCCTCTTAATTTTTACAAATAACATAACAAACACGTGTTTAACACGAAGATATGCTGCACGTTATCTTAAAAAAAAGGCTAGAATAGTTACTACGTTACAGACTAAAACTAATTGTTGAATTACAATATATGACTATTTTTTTTATAAAAAGTAATAACTCTTGTTTATAAATTTACAAGTTATCGCTTCAATCTCAGCTATTTTATTATTCTTGCGAAAATGACTATATTCTACAAATCATTCCAATATAGTACAAAATTAATTTGAAATTACATAGTAAAAAAAACAAATAACTTTATGATAAAACACTGAATTACAGTATATTATAAACTATTTGTATAATAAATTAACAATTGTATGAATACATTCTCCGGATCATAACAGAAAAATGGTAAGTTGTAATCTTAACTCAGTTAATGTACTGTACTTTCTGCATAGCCAACAGATGCTGTTTATTATATTTTTGAAAGGCAAACTTTGTTTTCTGGTTCCTAATTGGTGGTGGAATATCGTTCCAGCATTTAGTAGCAGCAAATCGAAATGAACCACGAAAGGCTGCTGACCGATGTTTTGGAGTATTGAAAATATGAGTGACAGATCTCTTTGGATATTTGAACTTAGCCAGAGTCTTATCAAGTTTAGCAGCGAGATATCCCGGTCTGCCGGTGTTAAGTATTCCGAACAACATGGAAGCTAAATGAGATTTTCTTCGAGCCTCCATTTTTAACATATTAGCGTTATTTAAAAATGGTGTAACATGTGTTCGTGGTGGTATGCGGAAACAAAACCGTGCACATGCATTCTGCACCCTTTGAATCAACTTGGCTGTTCTTGCGAGTATGCATGGACCATAAACTGTATCACAATAATTTAGTTTAGATAAGATAAGTGATTCACACAAGTAAATTCTGAGCTTCTCTTTCAGGTATGGCCTTATTCTGTATAGAAGCTTTAGCTTATAAAAACAGTTCCGAACACTTTCAGCGATATGTGTTTCGAAATTCAACCGGCTATCCAAGGTGACCCCTAGGCTCTTGGCTTTATCCACACGCTCAATATTTGTCCCTTCCATATTAATATTCAAAGTCACTCCATCAAACTTCTTTATATTTTTCCTGCTGCCAATTAGTAAAAATTTAGATTTTAGAGGATTCAGAGCAAGGCAATTGGACCTGGACCAGGATAATATTCTATTTATGTCACTATTTATTTTATCTACAGCAATGGTAGATTCTTGTGGATCAAATGACAGGTATAACTGAATATCATCGGCGTAAAGATGATACTTGCAGTTATCAATACAGTTTGTGACGTCAGCACTGTAGATGATAAAAAGGATGGGCCCAAGTATAGAGCCCTGTGGCACGCCTCTTGTCACCAGGCGGGAGCACGAGTGTATCCTAGTTCCATTTGCTGCAGTAAGCTCTACGTATTGTGTCCTGCCAGTCAAGTAGCTATGGAACCATTTTACAGCTGTAGAATCAACCCCTAAAAAAGCAAGTTTTGACAAAAGAAGTGACAAATTTATGCAGTCAAAAGCGCGGGAGTAGTCCAATAGGAGCAAAGCATTAACTCTACCTTGGTCTTGAGCTGCCAGAAGATCATCAACCATGCTTGCCAGAGCAGTAGCGGTGCCATGTGATTTCCGAAATCCTGATTGGAGTTGTGGCAATAAGTTGTGTTCCTCAAGATACTTTGTGAGTTGATCGCATACAACCCTTTCCAGTATCTTGGATAGACAGGAAAGTAGGCTAATGGGTCTGAGGTCCTGCAAAGACATGGGCTGGCTGCTTTTGGGTAAAGGTTTCACAACCGCTATTTTCCAACTTTCTGGAAAAGAACTTTCCCTAATTGACCGGTTAACTATATGTGTAATCGCTGTTAAGGATTGCGGCAAAGTAAGCAACAGCATCTCTAATGAGATGCGGTCGTGCCCTTGTGCATTAGATTTTAGTCTTTTAATAGCACCAAGCACCACATCCTCACTAACAGGTTGCAGAGTGAAAACATTCGAAGAAGAATGTCTGTGGTGTTCAAAAAAAGTCAATTGAGAGATGTCAACACTGTCGTTCCCGGGTACATTTAGAAAGTGAGCATTGATGACGTCTGGATCATTCAAGAAAGTTGGAAGTTCTAACTGGGTCTTACTATCTGGCAAGACAGAAGATTTCAAATTTTGCCACAAATGTTTAGGATCGCCCATGCTGTTATTGATGCTGGTAGTGAAATATGCCTTCTTTTCATTTTCAATGGCCTCTATGACGAGATGTTTCATAGATAAATAGGAATCCTTTAAGGCTTGGGTACGGGTCTCCTTATATTTCCGATGGTATCCATTTCTCACATTCATCATGGACTTTATTGTATCTGTAATCCATGGGTGTGGAAGGGCCCTAAATCTCTTTGTTCTTAAAGGAGCATGTAGGTCAAATAAAGATGTGACTGCAGTTGTGAAATTTTCAACCACAGTACTGACATCGTCCGTCGTTTTTTCGAAATATTCCCAATTGAACGAGTTTAGATCCTGGTTTAGGTAATCATGCTGAATGCTTTTGATAGGCCTGTATGTCACCCAATGTGGCACTGGTTTTTCTTTTTTTATATTCAAATCTGTTGCCACCATTGCATGACCACCCAGCTCAGGAATGTGGGTGACCGTTGTGTTACAAACCTTCAAGTCAGTGCAGATTACATCGATGAGGCTCTGGCTATGATCCGCAAAGTGGGTTGGCTCTGATATTACTTGATCCAAGTTTAAACTAAAAAGGATCTGATTGAGTAAACTTTCCTTGCCACTTCTGCTCAGCAGATCAATGTTAAAGTCCCCCATTAGAACCAAACCATGGTGCGTTGGGAATGAGGATATAGAGGCAGTGATGGCGTCAAAGAATATATTCATGTCTTGCCAGGGCGGTCTATAGGCAGTTCCTACAATTATATCCGTACCATTGATGCGCACCTTTATCCACATTTGTTCAACTGTGGTGACTGTAGGATTACAGCATTTACGAGCATTAACCCCTTTGCGGATGAAAAACCCCACACCACCACCACGGCCACCACGAACACTGTTAGGTCTTGGGTTGTGGTAAAATTTATAACCGGGCAAACTGGGAGCTCTGCCACTCTGGTCCGCTCTCAGCCAAGTTTCATTAATTGCCATAATGTCTGGATCTAATTCCTCCATAGCCACAATAAACTCCTCATGTTTTGTGCCTAGGGAGCCAGCATTAAAAACACCAACTTTGAAATTACTAGAAATCATTAAATTAAATTTGTGACTAAAATTTCCAAACATTTTGTGTGTATAAAACTAGAAATAAAGCTATCCACTATGAAGCCATGCAAGCTGTTATAAGAGTTTGTGAATCGATGAGAGTAATTATATTGATATAAACATGCTAGCAATAGGCACAGGACATAAAATAAATATGCAGTGTTAAATTTAAGCAAAAGCGTGACATTGAGACATCCAATTAAATTGAGCAATGTACTTAGTATCACATTAAATGCAGAATATACTGCAACTGTGGTTTTATTTACATGATGAAAACACATTACAGAACCAGGAGTTTTATAAATATTTAAAATATGTACATCGAAAATAAATAGTGAAACCATATATAATATGGTACCGACTATCATAAAAAATGATAAGAATGCATTATAACCCACGTAAAAGTAACTTTCTCCACTGTAACAAATGCAGGCCCCTGGGAGTCATTTTTCAAGCGCCGGCGCAGGCCCAAACACCCGCACCATGTCCTCGTCGTTGCGAATATGGAGAGCGGGTTTTCCGTCTCCCTGGCGAACGAAAATGCGGCCTCGCTTTGTCCAGACGTATCGCCAATTAAGTCTGCGACGCTCCTCCCGGACCCTGTAGAAAAGCTGGCGGTTGGCGCGCGTGAGGCGCTCGTTTAAGTAAACGCGAGCGCCGCCTCCCACGGCGGCGGCCGGTGGGCCACCCTCCGCAACAGTGACACTGCGGCGCACGCGCGCGGCCCCCAGCAGGTCGTCGCGCAGCTGGCGGCGCGCCAGGCGCACCACCACACGGCGCGGCCGGCCCCGCTCCTCGGCGGGCGGCGCGCCCACACGCTCCGCAAACACCACGTCCCGCCTGTCGAGAGTTACACCTAGTCGCACGGCCAGCATGGCAACACTCTGCTCCACGCTGACGCCCTTCTCTTCGGGCAACCCACCGATCTCCAGGTCGGACATCAATGCCTCCTGGTCGCGGTCGTTCAGCTCGGCACGCAGTTCGGATATAGTGCGCTCCAAGTCCACGGTACTAGTGGCATCGGGCTCTCCCTGGCGCTGCTCCAATGCCACAATCCTCTGCTCGAAGGAGTCTAGACGAGCAGTAAAAGAATTGCGGAACGCCGCCATCTCCGATCGGAACTCCCTCATCTCTTTCATGCAGTCAGTCAGCATGTCTTTAATGTCACCAGTCTGATTGTTTCCGGTAGCGTTCTCCTTTTCCTTGGCCTCGTCTTCCTTTGGGGAGACGCTGACCAGGTCAACAGGTCCCTGTCCAACAACTAGATTTTCGGTCTCCGAAGAATCACTTATGCCCTTTACAGGCGTATGCGTATTGTCACCCCTGCGTGTGCTCTTTTTGCAGTTTGGGCATATCCATTCCCGGCTTACACGCGCCTTTTCTGGGATGGCTAGGCAGCCCTTGTGGTACTTAAGCGGACAAGCACAGCAAGCAACAGCATTCGCCGGCGCCAAAAAGCTTCCACACGCCCCACAGTTTACCATGTTTAGTCCAAACCAAAATATAAAAATAAAGAAAATATTGAAAAATAATAAAAAGTCTAAAAAATAAAGGAGGCAAATAAGAAAATTAAAATAAAACTAGTGGCGGGATCCCAAAAAATAATAAAAGCAAAAAAAAAAAAAAAAAAAAAAAAAAAAAAAAAAAAATTCGATCGTGATTCGAACCGTCGACCTCGGCGGTGCGTCGAACGTTAGTCCGGTGGCAAAAACAAACACACCGCGCTATCTAGTTCCTTGTAAAGGTGACAAAAATTGCAACCTATTGGTAGGAAATGCACTCAGCTATCAATTTAGTAGTCTTTGTAGCTTCAACAATAGGGGAAGAAAAAAAAAAAAAAAAACACAAGTACCCTACAGCCACCACACTGTTTGCCAATTTAAATGTTGTACACTGCACTGTTTCTTGATATTTATTATCACTCTTCCAATTCTGTACTTATATAAGCAGATTCAGACACTTGAACAAGCTGATTTAAACTTTTTCCTGCGCTTTTGAAATTATTCTGCGGAGCCTCGCTAACTACGTGCACCACTCACTCGTAACTCGGAAAACGGAAATGCGTCACGAGCGTCACACGACTATATATATATATATATATATATATATCCGAATCCCACACGTACACACACACACACACACACATATATATATAGATTCGTGTGCAACTCTTCCCGACGTGCATGAAAGTTTGAGGGTAAGTCGGCGAAGGCTGAAACGCTACCTACGAGCGTCACGAGCTCATATATATGAGTAATGCGTGCGTTCCCCAATGACATTTAAGAAAAGAAAGAAGTTATTTAAGAAAAGAAGTTTCACTTCAGATGTGTGATACTTGTACACAAAATTTTTAAATCCACCTTTATTTTCTGGAATCCGCCGTCACATAACATAAGGTGGATTCAGTCATTTGTTCAGACCGAGATGGTTAAAAGGCGTAGAAAGGCCTGCAATAGTGCAAAAACAAGCAGTGAATGATAAGTCTTAACAAAACTGAAGAAGGAGTTATTTTTATCTTCTAGGCCTGTGCACTCCGCTTTAAGCGGGCTACTGACATCCCTGCCGCAGTATCAGCAATACCGCAATATCGGCTTGGCTCTACACACATGCTTGCTATTCAGTGTTTGGGTATAAGTTCAGCTAAACACACGTGTTGATAATGGCCCCAGTATTATCAATAATTCAAAAGATCGGTAAGTAGGCTCTTTTTATGATGTTAGCGCAAAAAATTAAATACTGGGTGAAGTATTGGCAAGAGAAAGAAATGTATTGTAAATAAATAATGTTTGTGTTTTTTTATCCCACATTTGGGGCCAGTACAATACTTCTATCACTCGAGACCAAACTTCATGCTCATTATGATCTGCCGCCATCTTGATCGAAATACGTGCGCTCCGTGTGATGCGTGCTGATTGAGAAATCGCCCCGATTGCGCTACACAGGCGGCAACGTGCAGGGCGGCAGGGACAATCTAGGAACCAAGGGTGGTCGCGACCCTGCCGCCCTGCCGCAAGGCCAATTTAGAAAATTGTCCCTGCTTGCGTACACACATAACAATTAAGGAGGCAATTAAGGGTCATCCCCACTCTTACGCCCTAGATTGCTCCTGCGGCAGGGATGTCAGTATAAGTTCCCAATATAAGTTCCTTGGCCCAAATATTCCAAAGAAGAGCAAACAGTTTCGTTATATGATTAATTTATGACATTTAAGTCCTGTCCGAAAATAAACACTAAAAAAATTTTTCGAAAAGCGCCCAAAATCTAGGACGTTCAAATAGTTGTCAATTATTTAGAGATGTCATTTTACCGTGATAACTTTATTGGGAATAATTTGTGATATAAACGTTGTTATTATTTAGTTTTTAGTGTAGTTTTTTTTTCTAGAGAAATGGGCTGTCTTTTCTCTAGGAGAATGAATGAGGTGAGTGATCAGAAACCTTGACCTGATTTACCAGTGTAAATAAAGCCTTCCCTCCATAGATGCGTTATTATCTGTCGATAATATCGGATGCGTTATTGCGATATCTATTTTTTGGTCATTACCTATGTATTATGCCTGCTCTACACATTGGCCAACATTGTAGCAAATATGGCAAAGACATTAGCCAAGAGTTTCTGATGCATCCATACGTTGGAAGATTCAGTTCAGTTCGCTTCGGTTCAAGAAAATGTGCGGACGAATTTATTAATATCCCTATTATAGTTAATATACTACGAGACACTATTACGATGCGTGAATAAAAAAAAAAAATCAGGTGCGTGTATGCGATCACTCCGGGAGCTCTTAACAAACTAGTGCGAGGCCAACGTGTGGACTCGACGGCCATAACTCCGCCACAGCCCTTTGTTCTGCCTCTTTAAAGTCTTTTATAAAAACCGACACCAAACAGATCTTGATCTAACTTGTGGGCCATCATTCAATACATATCAAGATACAAAACCCTGCTCTCTACCTATGATGGCCATAGGTAGGGCTGCCATCTCTAAAATGTGGCAACAAGGATAAGACGCATGATAACCCCGGATTTTGAAGCCCAGAACCCGGACAGACCAATAAAAAAACAGTTAAAAATGTCACAAATCAACTTTTCTATGTTGATCTAGGCAAAAGAGCTAGCGGTCTACCTCATAATAAGTGGTCACCATGGACATGGACACTTGCAGCACCTAGGGCCACTCATGCGTTGCCGTAAATTTTTAAACCCGGACTACAAATAAAACCCCGCCCGGACGCTCCCCGGACGCCCCGTAAACTAGGACAAATCCGGGGAAACCCGGACGGATGGCAGCCCTAGCCATAGGTAATGGCCATATCCATTCGCCACTATGTTGGCCAACGTGGCATTAAAACAGTTACGAAGTTACACAGTGCTACGATACTAAAGTAGCGATAGAAGTACAGCAAATTATCGCAATAACGCATCCGATATTATAGACGGTCTAGTACCCATTGGACCCTCCTAATTGGACCTTACCTACAAAAAAGTGCCCGTTCGACCTCCTATCAAGAACATGGTGCCCATTGGACCCTCAAAGACGTACTTAACGACTTAATGAGAGCTATTTATTTTTATTTATTTATTATGCTATTGGAGCTCTTAACTATTTGGCTAATTCTTTTGGAATGATAAAGTACAGTCGTGTAGTAAAGTAACATTGTAAAAGACATAAAAACACAAAGGTTATAAATCTAAGTATTTAATCAACATATTTATAAAATTCAAAACACTCATCATCAGTAACAAACCAATATAAATATTTACATAAAATATAATAATCAAATCACAGATTTTTTACTTTACTTTTAAAGTCAATAGAAATTATTTTTTATCAAATAACTTAACTAAATTATAAATATGGTTTGTTATATCACACAGATTAAGCACAGTTATTATATATTCTAAATATTGAAAAAATAAATAAAAGCACAAAGGTTATAAATGTAAGTATTGAAGATCAACATATTTATAAAATTCGAAACATCAATCATCAGCAACAAACCATATAATATAATAATCAAATCACAGATTTTGTTATTTTACTTTTAAAAAGTTTTTTTTTTCAGATATCTTAACTAAAATATACATACAGTTTTTATATCACTCAGATTAACTATTGAAGCACAATTATTATGTATTCTAAATATTCATAAAATAAAATACCAATGTAATATTTTCATATTACATTTTATAAAAAATATTTTCTAATCATATTTTTACAATTAACGAGAAATTGCTTATTATAAAAACATACTTTAACTAAAGGATATGGTTCAAAAGCGGTAGTCGGTTTCCGGCAGGGACGCTATATATATAATTTGAATGTTTGTATAACATGAATAGATACTTTGATTTTTTTATTCATTACCGATTATTTTAAAATCGTGTTTAATAATTAAACAACTTTGTAAGTATGCTGGCCACCCTATCTTAGTAACGTCATATTTTTAGTGTGTGGTGGCTTATAACGTCAACTCAATCACTATGGCATATATCAATCAGTCCAGTCATGGATTATTATCAGAATTATTATCAATGCTTTTGTTACACATTGAACATAATATATTTGATGCTTGGCAACAAAAAATAAATAAATAAACTTGGCATTTGCAAATCAATTATTGGATAGATTTATGTTATTTTAATATAAAAAACCGGGATAAAATAAAATTCTAGTTTTTAGTCAAACGATTCACAATTAAGTGCGCTGCATCTCATAAAAACTTGGAGTCTGCCGAAAGACCCACTACCAACCTCCATAAAAAATTTAACAGTCTTCTTTTGTAATACATTATAAATTACCAAATTAAATATTTAAGACACATATGTGAGTAATTTTTCTAAGCAATGGCCTACGGTTGTAAGATTATTTTCTAGCTGCAACATAGGTCATGAATCGGAACGAGACAGCAATAGTTCTCTCTCTCTCCCACATATGAGATCGGCGCCATCCTTTTATTTAAGCGCAGAGATTGCTTGGGCTTGGAATCTATAACCTTCCTTTCATCAGGTGCGTAAGAGGAGTATAACTGCCGATAAAAATACTCAATCTCCCTCAGAATTTCAGTCTTAGATCAAAAGATGATGTCTTTGCAAAATCCACCGTCATGTTGCTTAGATTGTCTAGATCCAAGCTGTTATAAGGAACTTGGAATCAATCGAACTTTTTTCGATTTGAAAGGTCTTGTGGATTTGGTGTTGCGCTGTAAGGGTATTTATTGGTCAGTGTACGATTGCCCTATTGAGTGAAAACTTTTTACATTAATGATCATTAATGTAATTAAATTGAAAATTAATGTAATTAATGATCGTTCCTTTAAACCTAAGACACAAACATATATAATGTCAAATGTAAAATAAAAAGATATTGAAGTGTTATCATTGTCACTGGCACCATTATAACCCATAGAATAAAAATACATGTCAGTAGTACAATATTTGGTTTTGGCTCCTTGTCAATACGAATAAAATAAAAATAAACATTATACAAATTAAATTTTGATTACTTTTGATTCACTTTTTATTTTCTAAATATCTCCCTTATATCTTATTGTACGAGTACCTTACTAAAAATCCAAATGTTTTAAAAATTCGCTTTTCTTAAAGGTTACTATCATCTGTCTGCGTCCCGTATTTATAGAGCAATAGACGAAAACCAGTTTTTTTTATTTTTCCTGAAAACTTACGTTTTTGTAGTTATCTTTTTATTCTCCGGGGATGGCGAAATATCGTTAATTCGAAGAAAAAAGGTAACCTGATTTCTTTACAATTTGTTTAGGACTACTTACTGGTTGGAGTCAATACTTATACAGTATTTAGTTAGTGGTTATTTAGTGGGTGGTTATCTTTATAATACCTACAATTAATTTTATTTTTGACTGCAATTTTCTACATGACTGTACTGTGCTTAACAAAACTGTTAATAAGGTTCAACTGGCAGTAGGGTATAATCTTGAAGGTCCAATGGGCACTTAAAAAGAGGTCCAATGGGCACATTGAATATAAAATTTTTAAGGAAGTCCAATGGGCACCAAAAAAGAGGTCCAATGGGCACATTGAATATAAAATGTTTTAAGAAGGTCCAATGGACACCAAAAAAGAGGTCCAATGGGCACTTTTTGCTTTTGGGTCGAATCTTGAGGGTCCAATGGGTACTAGACCTTATAGGGTCTACCGATAATAATGCGGCTATGGGAACAAGTCTCAGCCCCAGCACAAACTCTTCAAGGTGTTTTTTAAATTTAGTTCGCATTTATTTATTTGTATTAACTTAACAAGTGTAAATTTGTACTCAAATCGATGTATAAACCGCTACAGGTATTATTACATGAATCATTTAAACTCAGTTGTGTTACATTACCACAAAAGGGTGTATCGTCTTGTTGTTTTATAAGCATTTCTAGATGGTTAAATCTAAAGATTTTACTAGAAACAATTCACCCGGCCCAGAACCAGGTTCCATCCAGTCTGAAACCTGGACCGACCTGCAATTTTTTCTATTTAAATTTTCTTAAGAATCCTTAATTTTCTTTGATATTTTAGACATAATCTTTTATTTTTATTAATCAAACTACTTTCACACCGAAATCCCGGGTATAGTAGACAGAGAAAGTTTGAATAAAACTGATACTGATACTGAACTGAGCTGATTCTGACGACGAAGCCTGTAAAGGCTACGAAACGTCAATAAATAAATAAAGTTTTCGTGCATTAACCCGTAAAAACTAGTTTTATTTAATGAGTGATGTGCGTGAAAACCTAAGAAACAAATAAGAGAAATTAAACATCTAGCAGTTAAATGCTTAAAAAATAAATAAAATCATAAATAAGAGAAAGTTTGTATTATTTTTAATGTTTCTTGTTTTATAGGAGGATATGGTATACGACATGACACCGATACGGCATTTACCAGTCATATTCGTGAACGGCGTGCCTGGCGCTGGTAACCATACGGTGGCACAGACCATATCGAACATGACGGGTTACTCTATGATCAGGCCGGGCGAGCTGGTGGCTGCGGAGGCTCTGAAGGACACGGCGAGGGGCAGGTTGATCGCCGACAGACTACAGGCGCGGGAAGATGTACCGGAGGTGCCATTTTCAATATTTTTAAGAATTTGTCATATTTATTTATTTAAACTTCATTGCCATACATATGCAAACGGCGGACTTAATGCCATAGGCATTCTCTACCAGTCAACCTGAACGAGTGTTAGAGACAAATGGTATGGCGATAGGGCAAAATGCTTTATAATAAAACTATTAGAAAATAACAGTGATTAAAATATATTAACATTTTCATATTCCGACGATCTCGTAATAATTTATATATATATATTATTATGAGATCGTAGTTCCAGAATATGTCATCATTATCATCAGCTTTTTCTTTGGTTTTCTAAGTCACACATTGATTTGACATAAAAATATCTGCCAAACTATTACAATAGTTTGTCGGCAGAGTTCCCGTGGATAACGATTTTACAAATGACTTACAATGTGTTACTTATGTGAATCAAAACAAGTCAGTAGTTACTATTATAAAAATACATCATATTTATACTCTGCAAACCTTTATATCATCATCAGCCTATTAATATCCCCACTGTTGGGGCACAGGCCTTCCCTATGGATGGAATAGGGAGATTGGGCCATGACCCACCACACGGGCCCAGTGCGGATTGGCGGGTGCTAACAACTGCAGATGCAGCCGGGACCAACGGCTTAACGTGCCTTCCGAAGCACGTAGGAACTCGAGATAGAAGATTTTTGGCCACCCATCCAATGACCGACCACTGCGAAAGTTGCTTAACTTCAACGATCGCAGCCGAACGCGCTAACTACCTGCGCCATCGAGCTCCTCAATCTTTATATATAAATAATAATTTATATGAGATTCCTGTGATATTCTCAAAAAATCTTCTGTGTTATTCTTATCTTCGTTATCTTCGGTGCCATTAGTAACATTATAAGTGTTGGAGTATATTATGTTTGTTAATAAATCACGCAAAAATGGCTGAACGGATTTTGATGAAATCCGGCACTAATATAGTTTATGATCTATGATCAACAGCTTAATAATGTCCCTATTGTTGCGGCACAGGCCTTCCCTATGTATGGAATAGGGAGATTAGTGGGTGCTTACGACTGTATATATACAGCCTTAGATTAAAACAAAATGGGTAGATACGGTACGCTCCTACTTGCATCAAACAAAAATTGATCCCACAGCAGCGCGAACGGGACGGCGAGATCCGCGTCACTGCATTACCGACCAATCACGCGACCAGTACTCGACGTCACTACCGAATAAGATTCAAAACAAACAACAATTTTTATGAAAAAATATATTTTGTTGTACTTACGAATGAAAAGTGATGCCGTGGGTTTTTTTAGTTCTTGAGCAATTTGAGCACTTTTTAAAAACACACTTAGGCATTGTTTTATCATATAAATTCATGCGGATCACTTTTGTGAGGCTACTGCCTTATCTACCCTTTTTGTTTTAATCTAAGTATACAGCTGCGTAACGTGCCTTCCGGAGGAGCTCGAGATAGTGAATGTTTGTCTGCCATCTGTGATGATTGACCACTGCGAAAGTTGCTTAACTTCAACGATCGCAGCCGAACGCGTTTAGCACTAGCGCCATCGAGCTCCTCCTCGTAAATATATATCGTTGAAAATAGAATATCTACCATAGGTTAATAATAGTCACATAGGTATTACCAGGGCCGGATTTAGGATTGTGGAGGCCCCGGGCCACTTAGGATTTATATGCTTGTTGACCCATCGAAATTTTGTTATCTTTTATCCTGTTGTGGAGGCCCCGGGCCACTTAGAATTTGCATGCTGTTGACCCATCGAAATTTTGTTATTTCTTAAGCTCTTGTGGAGGCCCCTGGGACACAGCCCCACCTGCCCTGCCTTTAATTCGGCCCTGAGATTAATATAATCAAATAATCATGTATGTTAGATGTACAAAGTACTGTAGGCTGTAGGTAAAGGTAAAAGAGCAAAAAAAATATCAAAGGATGTTTACTAGTGTTTACTAGTTGGAATTTGAAAGATTTTTTTTCCGAAGTCTCTATTGTGGGGGCCCCCAGTTTGTGGAGGCCCCGGGGCTTTCGCCCCGGTTGCCCTCCCCTAAATCCGGCAGTGGGTATTACTATAAAGATAAGAAATGCGATTGCTAAAGTTAGCGCGTTGCGTTTGATTTATAATCGTAGGTAAACAAAAATTTAGTTTCATGAACGGAATAAATTTTGGAAATTACGTAAGACCCCTGTAACCCTGTAATCTAATCAATCGATAGAACTAGAATGTTAAAATTTTATTTACTTCATTACACATCTATTTTTTTCTGTTTAGGTAACTAGTAGACTTGCAACGAATAGTATATTCGGCAGTAGGTATACCGAATATTAGGCAAAAGACGTGATTGTTTCGCGCTACTTTGTTTTGTTCTAATCTGCCGTCCTCAAGCTAAAATGCGGCTAAATGACAAAACCAACTTTTTTACCAACGCCAAAAACGGCGCGTAAACTTTAAATTATTGCTAATATGTAACCATTCATCACATGACTGAAAGAATTAAAAACTGTTAACTTGTTTAATACAGAAAATGATTAAATTATGTACCTGTTTCATGTACCAATGACTACTTAATAAATGATTATAAAAGAAATGAGAACCTTATCCTTCTAAATTTTGATTACCACAATAATTCGAATACATAGAATCCTCCATTTTTCCAATTCAAAAGATGATTATGTACCTGTGTTATGTACCAATGACTACTTAAATGATTATATAACAGAAATGAAAATATGAACATATACGTAATCAATCGATTTTAATTTTTCATTTTACCAATTATTTCTCTATGACAAAATATATTATTAAAGTATTCGGTATTCGGCCGAATAATATGTAGATATTCGGTATTCGGCCGAATATAATAGAAGCAGCCGAATACCGAATAGTAACCGAATATTCATTGCAAGTCTAGTAACTAGTCAATAATTTCTTTACCTAGAAAACTTTTTAAATTCAGTTCGTTGATGTCTGTGTTTTGAAAAGTGTTTTGATTTACAGCAACTTGCAGTGGATTTAATAAAGGAGGCGATGCTGGCACAGCAGGATGCCACGGGTTTCATCCTGGTCGGGTTCCCGAAGAACCCAAGGATGTCCAACATATTCAACAGACAGGTCAAGTGGCCCGAGAAGATCGTCGCCCTAGAAGTTGACAATGAGGTAAATATTGACAAAAGAGGAGATTTTTTGATAATTCCTTTACTCTTCCTTATCAGTTTGGAACGTGATTGTTCTAAAACACTTGAAACTGTGGCTGAAATTGACTTTAAACGTAGCCTGATCGTTATGAGGTCTCGTCTCGTCTTGAGGATCGTCTGAGGTGACTTCAGAGATACTTCTCTATTTTTCAACTTGACGACTCTGTATAAATAATACAGGGATAAAAAACAGCCCTTGCTAAGATTCTTGCCGGTTCTTCTTAGTACAAGGTCTCCCGTCGTAGTTTTGCGAACTGATGGCGTAACTTCTTGATCTTCACAAGTGCTTGTAACAGCCTAGACTGAATAAATGAATTTTAATTTTGTTATCGTCGTACATTTTACTCTAAATTTTCTAGTTTTTAAGGACGTAGAGTAGGGTGTGACAAAATGACGCTCTTGATACATAGATTTTAAGAGAAGTGCCTGGTTATCGGCGATTTATCTTTAGGTACCTATCTTTGTTGCGAAAGAAATGAGGACAATACAAAACTATGTAATGGTTACCAAAATATTGTTATTGTACAGAACAAAATAATGCATCGCTAGATACCATTTTGTAACTAAAGCAACTCTCGCCTTTCACAAAATTGCAAAATACACAATTCCGAGCCGAGATGTTATCTGCAGTGACTACGAAATTAAAACTAATTGAATTATTAAATATAAAAGATGTCTTATCTCCCTACTAGCATTGAATCTCATAAGTTTGTATTGCCAAGAAAATGACAGAAACTTTATAGTAATTTTCAGTTATTTACGGTATTGCTAGCATGTGTTGCAAGCGCTATGATCACGTAGCAACTGAAGTTATTGTAGATAGGATGTTATTGGAAATATATCGGTCTACTCTCCGACGATTTTTTTTTCGAATAAACGAATTGATATGAATCAGCCTAACTTCTGCCTGTGGTAGCCTTCCATCAAGCAGACCAATCAAAGCCTTTAAATTGTTTCAGTTGGCAGCTTCACGATTACAGACGAAACTATCAGAGCTCGGAAGGCCCGAATCTGAAATAAACTCGGCACGGCAGATAGTCAAAGAGGCGGCACACAAAGTCAAGAACGTGCACAAAAGGTTTGGCGGTCACGTGGTCACGGTAAATAGCGTTGATGCAATTTGCACTAAATAACTAGCATCCATACGACCTTAAGGCGTGGGCACATCCCGGCAGCGCACGACCAATGTAAAACGGCGAAATATAGTATTATATTTGTTTCTTAGGTTTTCACGTACATCACTCATTAAATAAAACTAGTTTTTACGGGTTAATGCACGAAACTTTATTTATTTATTGACGTTTCGTAGCCTTTACAGGCTACGTCGTCAGAATTAAACTTTTATTTGACAAATAAAAGTTTAATTCTGACGACGTAGCCTGTAATGGCTACGAAACGTCAATAAATAAATAAAGTTTCGTGCATTAACCCGTAAAAACTAGTTTTATTTAATATAGTATTATGTCAGAAAGTAGAAGAAATAAATAAATAAAGTATGAAGAAGCAACATGCAGGCCGGCAGGGTGAGGATGGCTGGTGTGGCAGGTAGAACTGCTGTATCAGCTATCTTCGCGTCTGGACTTCCCCTTCACTTAACATCAGGTGGGGTGGAGTCATTTGTCGGACCTATCTATAAAAAATAAAATAAATAAAGTGATGTAGTGTCCCCATGCCGCAATTAAATTTGATCGTTAGCCCGAAAAATGGAAATCTACCCAAATACGGGCGTACTCGACTCCGTTCATTTACACTTAGGGGCCGTTCAAGTATTACGTAAGCACTATAGGGGGGCAGGGGGGTCTTTGCTTTGCTTCTTTTTGATGACATGGAGGGGGGGGGGGGGGGGTAGGGGTTCGAAATAGTGATTACGTCAGCATCATGGATTGGGGTGTCATGGACTGAAGGACCTTAGAGCTAAGCTGAAGACTGTTAATTGGAATTATTTTTATAATTGTAGTAAATCTGCTTACATAATACTTGAACGGCCCCTTAGTCGTTTACCCGAATTCCATTGGTACTCGCATTCGGGCTAACGATCAAGTGTAATCACCCCATTAGGCGTGCAACTTGATACTTCTCTACTTTTTCAAGGAAAAAATGTTTTTGAAGTTATACTTCTTTAGGCGCGTTATGAAAAAATGATGAGAGTGAAATTTTAAGATGCGCGCGCATCACTGTAACACAAAAAATTAAAAAAATACTTTTGTGCTTACCGCACATTAAGAAAATCTACCAACAAAATAGAAATAGAATCTCTATTTAGTGGGTGCTAACGACTGCATTGTGAAGGCCTATCAAAAGTATTTATTAATCTGGAACAACGGAACCAAAGCGCGATTCAGGAGACTACAGCGCCATCTCTTGACCATTGGTGTAGTAGAACCAAAAACCACATCTTTATTTTTTGTAATAAAGTAACAGTTATAGGTATTGATATTTATAATATCAAAAGTATTTATTAATCTGGAACAACGGAACCAAAGCGCGATTCAGGAGACTACAGCGCCATCTCTTGACCATTGGTGTAGTAGAACCAAAAACCACATCTTTATTTTTTGTAATAAAGTAACAGTTATAGGTATTCATATTTATAATATTTATCCACATGTTTCTAGTTTGTATATTCGGAATACGTGTTTGAGTTTCATACAAGTGCAAATCACATAATGTTCTAATAAATTATATTCAATAGCGATTTTAATTGAATATTTTGATTATTTATTTATTTTTTCAAATTAAAACTGAACTTTATTGACTGTGTCCTTTTCCAGACTTTTATTAATTTATTGTAATTAATTATTTGCATGCAATTAAAAACTAATTTTAAACGATGCCAAAGAAGGATAACTTCTCACGCGCCTACATAAGTACACGCACCCATTTTTTTTTATAGGTAGGCTAATGACTACCCCACCTGATGTAAAGTGGTGATAAAGTCCAAGCGCGAAGATAGCTGGTACAGCAGTTATAAACTACTAAACCAACCATCCTCACCTTGCCGGCCTGCAAAAATGCTTCTTCACGCCTCTCTTAAAGGACCCCAGATTATAGGAAGGTGGGAACACGTGCGCGGGTAAAGAATTCCACTTAAGAATAGTACGACAAACAAATGAGTCACCATATTTCTTAGTTCGTGTAGGAATAGTGGCCACAGTAAGTCGGTGGTTCTTCACTTCTCAGAGACGCCCTCTAGTTGAGCCGACCCCCTCAGGTTCGAGTGGTCTGGAGGCTCCAGACGGAGTGGAGACTCCCCCCGGGGAAACGCCATCCGACTGGAATACCTCCAGAGCCACTCGCCAATTCTCGGCTTGAGGTCCCCTTAGGATCTCGCCGTCCCCAAACCCGGTGACGCTGTAAAGGTCATCTGCGACCAACAGCATACACACTAAAAAAAAAAAAAAAGTTGGTGGTAACGAAGGCCAGTGCGCGTGGCCCTCTGAAGAAAAGGTAATGGAGGGTTAAGGGAGAATAGCTCCTCAGAACACTCGCCGTGGTATGGTCGGTAGAATGCGCTTAATGATCCCACATCGTGGCGTAATTGTAGAGACTCGAAGCTTATTCTTTTTTCATGTAGAATAGTTTATTTTATCAAAAAAGTCAGTCTTATATTAGTCCAGTCGGAATAGCCATAATTTGGACCGACTTCTATTCTAAGACACCAGCGCTTAGCCATTTTTTTCCTAGATAGTATAGACCCCCACGAATATGCCCTCCATTTGTCCCCGCTAGAACCCGTGTTTTGTAGCCAGGAAAATTGTTTAAACAAAGAAAAACCGGTTTTTTTGAGTTTTTTTGCTTGTAAACGGGGATTTTGAAATTTTTTTTGAATCAAAGTTGTTCATTAGCTTGCCCTCTACAAAATCAGTTCTATGAAAAAATAACGTGAGATTGTTAGTTTAGCAGTAAATTGCAATTATGTCGGTTTTACGTTTGCAACAATTCAACATGTTATAATAAACATTTTGATTTCTAAAGTAGTTTATCATGTGGGTAACGCCACTCCCAAGAGAGTCATGTAAAATTTATCGACCTGTGTCCGCAAACTTTAGCAACAATTCTCAATCTCCGAAAAAAAAGTACTTGCCTGTCCCGTCTTTCCCAGAAGGCGCACAGCGGGGAAAAAAATTCAGGTGATTCGATTCACCAAGAATTTTGAGGAATCGATCGAGTAGAAAAAAATCGTTAGTAAAAATGTTCGTTTTTGGACGATTTAATTTTTTTTTAAAAAATTGACGTAGAATATTTTTTTTAAACTAATGTATTTTTCTCTCCTCAACTCAGGTCTCATGTTTATTCCGACTGGACTATATGGTTTTGCGGCCAAAAGAGTCTTATGTAGTTGTAATTCTCCTAGGTACTTTATTTTTATACCAAAACTCAAAATCGTGCCGCGATTATGACGGGGCGCGCTGCAGTAATCTGGTGTGCCCATGCCCTAATGAAACATGAATATAGAATTTCATTAACATAATAATAATTGTTGCGGTAAAGACATTGCTGTTTCGATATCGATTTCGGGATTGCAAATCCATTACCAAGTAATAAATTAGCAAACGACCAATGGTCTAAAATTATTCCTTTTTAATTTCTTTCGGATTTTCACACTTTCCGAGGAGGATATACATATATTTAAGTCATACCTTCTTTTTGACGTGACAACGTCTTAAATTAGGTTGCGGCTGGGAGTCACTTATGAAAAAGTGTAACGCTCGGTAACGTTACGATGAGTCTCTCGTGTTAAGTTTAAGTTTACATGTACAATGTTTTAGTAAACAAAATATATTTCTATAGTTAAAATTTGTGCAATTCTTATTTTCATTCAATTCCTTGTTCCTATTGTGCAATTTAATTATATTCATATCAATAAATATTCTACCGAGAAAAAGACGTTGTCACGTAAAATCTTCGCCCGTAAAACCGACTTTACAGGCAACCATTTTTTTTTCTTAAAGTGGTAAGATTTGAACCTTAAAAATAGGTACTCACTATTAATACTTAAGAATTAGCTTGGAAATGTTGATCAGTGTCATGGGCAGTGTTTGTTTCTTACAGCACAAAACATGTTCCATTTTATGTCCCCACTGCTGGGGCACAGGCCTTCCCCTATGGTTGGAATCGTAATATCCCGCATGGTAGGTAATTGTCCATTCCAGCTAGCCCAGTGGGGGTTGGTGGGTGCTAACGTCTGTAGATGCAGTCAAACCAAACGGGTTAACGTGCCTTCCGAAACACACAGGATATCGAAATAATAAGTTGTTGGTCACTCATCCTATGACTGCTTATTACAAAAGTTATTCACAAGCTTACATATTGTTTATTATTAAATAAATTTTTACTTCTAGGTGGACAGCACAGGTAATCCTAAGGCCTTAGCGTCAACGCTCAAGGAGATCCTGTCAGACACGATACAGAAGAGTCAGAAACAATCGTTGTGCTCCGAGCCGTGTCCAGCGGCGACATCCGCCCCTGCGATCACAAGTGCTCCCACAAATGCTCCAACAAATGCTCCCGCAAATGCTCCCGCAAATGCTCCCGCAAATGCTCCCGCAAATGCTCCCGCAAATGCTCCCGCTCCCACAAATGCTCCCACTCTCACATATGCTCCCGCTCCCACAAATACTCCCACTCCTATAAATACACCTGCTCCTACAAATGCTCCTATTCCCATGCCTGACGACGTGGCACCAACGGTAGACGAATCGGACAAGTGACCTAGCCTTTAATACTACTTTCATAGTGATGTTTTAAATTTTACTAATACACGTTAATTTTTAGCCATTTACACTGACCGTGTTTCATTTTGTTTGGTGTATTTTTGAAGAAGATTTGAATATGTAACCCAATATGTGCATTAGGTATTGCTAAAATAATAGTTAAGAATGTTTTTTAGCAGTGGCTGGGTTGCCTTTTACACTTGTACATCTTGAAACGGCAAGAGAATATTTTATCGCTGCGTATACTGCTTAAAACTGTTATCACTATCTATTTCAAGCACTTGAAATCATGAAACACAATCAAGGTTCTCTATTTCTGGTTTGATACACAACACCACAAGTAGTTACGACTACACTGCATGTTGCGATTTAATTAAAAATACAATTATTTCGCCTTATGCATACGTATAGGCTTCTTGACATCATGTAAAAAGCGCGGTGGGACAAACAAGTGCGTACAATTTAGAGGGTAAATGAAGAAAAGTCAGTCTATGTAACAGAATAAAAATACTTTAATAATAATAATTTAAAATTACCATTTATAAATGATTATCATTTATAAACACTATGTACAGTAACAATTATGCAGTGCAGTGCAGTTTTCTAGTTGGCGGCCGCGCTGGCCATTAGTGGGTCAAGGATTTCCTGCACTTGAGCGAAGATGACGTCCACGTTCGCTTCTGCATCTATCTGTAATGAAACAGACAGATTTTGTTAGGAATGCAATAACAATTTTGATTTACCTTATTTGATTAGCATCGAATGGGGATAACTGCAAAAAAATATAGTTACTAACAGGATTGTTACCATGTACCTTGTTTTAAACCCATCCTCACGATTGAAATTTTTGTGTTTGGTTATTTCAATCGCTTCCCTGACCAAGCTTTGTATGTAGTGGCGTTCTGTCGAGATAATTTGTGGATTATTGAGCTCAATCAAGTGATTAGGACCCGAATCAATTAAATGTTCCGTGATAGCTGATTTTTGCGTATCATTGTTTCTGACTGCTTTTGTGTTCTTTAATGCGGTACGCTATTGTTCGCTTCGTTTGGCTAATATACGAACCACAGCTACAGTCTATTTTATATACACCATGTTTCTCCAAGGGGCAGTTGTCTTTGGGAAATCGTAAAACCTGTAACACTTTTTGTAAAGGTGTGAAAACAGTATTCAGTGAATGCTTATTTAGTATGTTCGAGATCTTGTCTGTCACTCCTTTCATATAATGGCAAAAATACTGGTTGCCTGTCTACTTTGTGTGTCTGGTGTCTTATTTTGTGTTTGGGTGGAAACTGTCCCTTGTATCCATTATTCTGTAAGACCCGCCGTACATGCTCCAACTCTTCGTGCAGGTGTTCCTTGTCACATGTCGTATGCACGGTTCATCTGTGAGTCACTACCGAGTTTAGATGTTTAGGGTGGTGATGCGAGAAGGCGTTGAGATAACGGTCTGTGTGTGTAGGCTGTAGGTTTTCGGTGAATGAAATGACTCAGCGAACCGTCATTCTGCACCCGAATCTTTACATCAAGAAAGGTCATCATCTTCCATCTCATATGTGAAATGCATTTTGGTATGGACTCCATTTAAATTTGCCAAATGTTATGACTTCTTAGCGAAATGCTGACGTACGAGGACCTTGAAAGTAGGTTTACTGGGTGCTTTTCTCACGCTCTCCGGAAGATCGTTCCAGAGACGAATAGCTTGGAGACAAAATGAGTTTGATATGAAGCTGGAGCAGTGGGAGAGAATGTACATAAGAAGGTTTTCAGATGAACGAAGAGGACGAGAGTGAGTGGAACGTAAAAAGTGAAATTTGGACTTCAGGTAAGACGGTGCATTAGGGTCAAAAAGAATTGAGAAAAGAGATGTGAGAATTCTTAGATCAAGACGGCTTCTGAAAGAGGCGGCCAATTGAGTTTACGGCAAAATGAAGTAATATGACAATCGAATACAGCTGTTAAGAGACCGCTCTAATTTAACAAGTATATCTTTATTTAGGTCAGGATAACACACAGCAGCATAATGCCGATATGTCTGCCAATAACATCTATCCGCAATTACTTCAGTCACTCCGTGATCATGGCACTTGCAACAGTGCCGAAATATCGGAGACTCATAAAAAACAAGGTATATGGTAACAATCCCTTTAATAACTATAGTGTTAGTGACTATGAAAGTTTAAAACACTGGAAAAAAGTTTACGTTCCTTTATTGATGGGCCAAGTTAATGGGGATTAGAGGAAAGTCCTCTAAAAGCGTGTGCAACCTCTTCGGATATACAGCCTCTACAAAGCTACACTCACCCTCTGGACCTTGACAGGGTACTGCGCCAGAACTGAGTCGTTGTTCACGAGGAAGGTCTTGAGGCGTAGCTTGATGGTCTCCTCGATGTCGTCCGCCCGCCCCTTTCTAGCTACGCGCCCTAACAACCGCTTCGTTAACACCCTATTGGGATGGACACTCATTTTCGTTATCTTGGCGGGGTACTGCACCGGCAATTGGTCGTTGTTCTCGAGGAAGGTCTTGAGGCGTAGCTTGATGGTCTACTCGTTGTCGTCAGACCGCCCCTTTCTAGCTACGCGCCCTAACAACCGCTTCGTTAACACCCTAATGGGATGGACACTCATTTTCGTTATCTTGGCGGGGTACTGCACCGGCAATTGGTCGTTGTTCCCGAGGAAGGTCTTGAGGCGTAGCTTGATGGTCTCCTCGATGTCGTCCGCCCGCCCCTTTCTAGCTACGCGCCCTAACAACCGCTTCGTTAACACCCTATTGGGATGGACACTCATTTTCGTTATCTTGGCGGGGTACTGCACCGGCAATTGGTCGTTGTTCTCGAGGAAGGTCTTGAGGCGTAGCTTGATGGTCTACTCGTTGTCGTCAGACCGCCCCGAGTTAGCTGCGCACCCAACAAACGCTCCGTTAACGCCCTAATGGGAGGGACACTCACCCTCTTGATCTTAGCGGGGTACTGCGCCAGCACTTGGTCGTTGTTCTCGAGGAAGGTCTTGAGGTGTAGCTTGATGGTCTACTCGTTGTCGTCTGCCCGCCCCGAGTTAGCTGCGCACCCAACAAACGCTCCGTTAACGCCCTAATGGGAGGGACACTCACCCTCTTGATCTTAGCGGGGTACTGCGCCAGCACTTGGTCGTTGTTCTCGAGGAAGGTCTTGATGCGAAGCTTGATGGTCTCCTCGTTGTCGTCTGCCCGCCCCGAGCTGGCTGCGCGCCCTATCAACCGTTTAGTCAACGTCTCCGGTGATGCCTCGAAGTAAATTATCACCTGGAGTAGGAAAATAAATTTGGAGTGTCATTTGTTGTCGTACTATTCGCGTATGTCACATTGTTCCCTACGATTAGGTGAATCAATAGCAAGATAAAATTCTGTACCCACGCAAGGGTCTTTCCTAAAAATTCAAAGTTCAAAATAATTTATTCAGTCTAGGCTGTAACAAGCTCTTGTGACAATCAAACGTTATGCCATTGGGTTCATATAACCTGGGTTCTTTCAATGAGGCGTGAAGAAGCATTTGTGCACGTTGTGTACCAGGTCACTCAGAATTTAAATTTATTTACGTATAAGACACTGGCCATTTGTTATTATTTTGAAAACTTCGATTAATTATTCAAACGTAAAAATACCACTGTTCGATGGAATGCATCGAGAACATTTTCGTGCTATGATATTTTAGGATTTTTAATGTGGCTTAAAACCTCATGAGTCATTTGATCGATTTCGAACTGTTTTTGTGCTGCGTAAGTTGCTTAACTTCAACGCGCGTTAGCGCGTTCGGCTGCGATCGTTGAAGTTAAGCAACTTTCGCAGTGGTCGGTCATTGGCTGGGTGAACAAAAATCTTCTATCTCGAGTTCCTCCGTGCTTCGCAAGGCACGTTAAGCCGTTGGTCCCAGCTACATCTGCAGTCGTTAGCACCCGCCAATCCGCACTAGGCCTGCGTGGCGGGTCATGGCCTAATCTCCCTATTCCATCCATAGGGAAGGCCTGTGCCCCAGCAGTGAGAACATTAATAGGTTGATGATGATGATGATACGATTACGGAGCCGTCAAAGATCGTGTTTAACGTCCATCTGTCGTCACTGCGGCTGGATATTCAAATCACGGCTACGGTGTCGTATGCTTAAGGCCTTACGACACGCACACGCTACGCGCGTCAGCACGCGCGTCTAAGACGCTTCGACATTGGTTGTATAGAATTTGAGTCTTATGAAATTTCAATAAAGTTCTGAATCCGTTATCAAAGTCCAACCGCGCACGCCACGCATACGCCACGCACACGTCACGCATACGCAGATATATCGGCAAATGCATGCACCCGCGCCTTTAATATCTCTACGCGTTCATGAGAAAGGAGGTAGTAACTTCAAAATTTTCAAAAAAAAAAATTATATTATATGATGTAACTAAAAATTTACGGTTTTCGCAATTTTTCCTTTATCTGTACTATAAGACGTTACTTCGTACCAAATTTCAAGATTCTAAGTTCACGGGAAGTACCCTGTAGGTTTTGATCCCGTGCAAGTTTCGCAAATTTGCGGCATAAACGGCTGTCTTTTGATTGCTTTGACTTAGAAGTTTGTTTTTTTCACAGCTCCAAGGGACAGTAGACATGAGTATTAGATATGAATTTCAGTTTGATACCTCCACGTGTTCCTGAGAAAAACGGTCTCGACAGACGGACGGACAGACGGACAACAAAATGATCCTATAAATATGGCATGTGCGTGGTCGGCACGGGTCATCTAAACACACCCTAATAATGATGTGAGCACTCACAGATACTGGTGCAATGGCGTTTTCAAAGGCGATGCCCTGCGACTTCTCGCGCGGGTAGCCGTCCACTAGGAAGCCGTTGGCCTTCTCCGCGTTAGCCAGGATCGCTTCTTTGAGCAGGTCCAGCACAACGTCGTTAGGCACTAGTTCACCTAGAATATAAAATAGGTCCAATTAGGTTGCATATAGATCCTAATGGTGCAGGTGGTAGCGAATTCGGCCGTAAAAGTTAGGCGACTATCGTAATGGTCGGTCATTGGATGGGTGACAAAAAAATTAGTAACTCGAGCTCTTCCGTGCTTCGGAAGTCACTTTAACCCGTTGGTCCCGGCTGCATCTGCAGTCGTTAGCACTATCTAATCCACACTAAGCCTGCTTGGTGGGTCACGTCACGGCCCAATCACCCTGTGCCATTCATAGGTAACGCCAGTGCCCCAGCAGTGGGGACATTAATAGGCTGAAGATGATGATGACGTTGCATAGCTATTGTAAAACAAAGATAGTTGGTAATTTTTCAATATTATTTATTTATTGTGTTTAGTGAAAGTGAAAAAATAAAATAAGTTTACTAGCAATTAAATTCGCGTAGACATAAAAATACTATCAAAAGGCATATGTTTAATCTAACGGAACCTAATTCAATTAAATTAGTCAGCTTTTAGGAATAAAAATATTCCTTTTAGGAATAATATAAATTCCTGTTATATAATGAGTAATTTATTTTGTGCTTTGGCAATACATAAAGCAGTCTGGTATTTACTGCGTCTGCAATTTTTTTTTGGCTTACACTAGATGCATGAATATAAAGACTTATGAACAAAATCCCATGTTGTGGGGTTATTAGTTATGCTACGGCCAAATTATCGCACGAAAATTCGTGTCCCGTCCACGATAAAACTTCGACTTCAATCTACAAAAACGCGCACTGGCTACATTGAAAAAAAAAACATCGCGACGTCTCCGTAGATAATTTAGGGGGAAAATGATTTTTTTTTTCACATATATTATTTTTTTGTTTTGGCTCATGGGGATTCTACAAAACTGGTTCTTATCCATAATTTGCTATGAATTCTTGTATTTTATCTTTACGCTAATTCATTATTATCTTAGAGTACGACGACATGCAGTCTTTATTAAATCTCGCTGTCAACAAAGCGCGCGAAATGTAGAATTTAATCGCGTCATGACATTTTTTGTCGTGAAAAACATTCGTATGTTCATCTTCTATCTATCTATATATATAAAACTCAAAGACTGTGACTGACTGACTGACATAGTGATCTATCAACGCACAGCCCAAACCACTGGACGGATCGGGCTGAAATTTGGCATGCAGGTAGATGTTATGACGTAGGCATCCGCGAAGAAAGGATTTTGATCAATTCTGCCCCCAAGGGGATAAAATAGGGAATGAAAGTTTGTATGAAACTTTGTCAATTTTAAACCGATCGGGTTGAGACTTTGCATGCAGATATAAGAAGAATCATTAATGAATGTCATTGTGTATAATACAACCCTGAGAACAAAAACTGTAGTCTACACTTCAGCCCTACACCGAAGCGAAGCGAGGGTGGGCCGCTAGTTACGACAATAAATGTCTACCCACCGCTGTTGGTAAATAGGTGCGCATTCAAGGAGAACGAATTTCTCGGCCAAACATATTGCAATAAGCCCCAGCATTACAAACTTGTGTCATTCATTGCCAAGTGGGTGCCATATGTACTGTAGGGGGAACCTGTGATCCGACATTGGTGTTATAAATAGAATAATGTTCGTATTGGTTCCGCATCGTACTCAATCCATTAGCTCTTTTAGACCCTTCGTGAAGAAAAGTCATCTGATCCAAAAGAAAGGACATTGACATTATATCACCGGCTAGCGGCCCGCCCTCGCTTCGCTTTGGTGTAGAGCTGAAGTGTAGACTACAGTTTTTGTTCTCAGGCTTGTATTATATACAATGACATTCATCTATGATTCTTCTTATACCTGCATGCAAAGTCTCATCCCGATCGGTTTAAAATTGACAAAGTTTCATACAAACTTTCATTCCCTATTTTATCCCCTTGGATGTAGAATTGATCAAAATCCTTTCTTAGCGGATGCCTACGTCATAACATCTACCAGCATACCAAATTTCAGCCCGATCCGTCCAGTGGTTTGGGCTGTGCGTTGATAGATCACTATGTCAGTCAGTCACCTTTGAGTTTTATATATATAGAGATGTAACTATATCTGTTCTGCCTAAGTTTTATCATAATAGACTTAGACTGTTCATGGTGTTCCAAAGGCATTGCTTCTAGTACAGAAGTTTTTATACAAAACCATGTACTGATGACATCGACCAGTAGTCGTGGCTGATGACAGTGATGTTATGTGAAATAGGCTTATTAGAGCTTATTTGCCACGATACTTTTATTATTTAGATTAAAATAACAACTGCTGCTAAGCAACAGAGGCAGAATAAGCAGGGTCGGATTTAGAGATGTGGAGGCTATGGGGCAACAAAGGAGTGGCTGCCCCTCGAGGGTACGATATGCAACTCCCCTTGGTGACCCGTCGATATTTGGTTATATTTTATCTTTGCTGCGGGGACAGCCCCGTCTATACTACCTTACGAAGGTAAAGCTAAGCTTTTACTGGAGGTTGGTTATTCAAACTGGATGTACAGGTCGCGGCACGTCACTCTAGCGCTGAACAAAACGCGGATATAGCTGCGCATGGAGAACCAATCGGCGCAACGCACGCTCACATCTAATTTTTACTTCTGCGCAATAACGGTCAGCGCTAGAGTTTCGTGTCGCGACTTATAAACTGCAGTTTATTTACTCACCCCGCTCCATGATGGCGGTAAGACACTTGGCCCGATCTGATCCGCTCTTGACCTCTGCGCGGAGCAGATCTCCGGTGGAGAGATGTGTGAACCCGTACTTGGCAATGATCTTCTCGCATTGCGTGCCCTTGCCTGACCCTGGCCCGCCCAGGATCCATATGATGGGCTTCTTCGATGTGTCTATGGGGGCCTGAAGCATAAAAATCGTGTTGTTTTTTTGGTGTTTCGTAACATGTTAGTTGTTTAAGATATTTTGTTACAAGAATGTGTGCGATGTCGTGATGTTTTATTAGTATAGGTAAGCTTTATCCAATATTAAGGCCCGTATTATAGAAAGATTTTCAGTGATTGATCTAGTCCTGAGCATAGTTAGAAAGGGATGTCGCTATATAAAGCACATAGCGATATCCCTTTCTAACTGTACTCAAGTAAAGATCAACACTAAGTTGTCTTCTGTAATACGGGCCTAAGATCATTAAACATTTAGAGGTGTTTTTGTATGGGTATACAAAAACACCATAATGAAATAAAGTCTGCTTTCGGTTTTACTAAACTTTCGGGCAACAGCAACGGTAAATTTCCTACAGCTGATAGTCTATTCCAGATCCTAGAAAAAAAAATATGCCAAGTATGGGTTAGTTTGGCTTAAATACGTTAGCAATAAGTTGGTCTCAAAATTAAGAAGGCTTTAAAAACTTAGGAGTGTTTTTGTATCCTCTTTTGAAATTAAGTCTGCTTTCGGTTTCGTTGAGCTTTCGGGCAACGGTAACGCTAAATTTTCTACAGCTGAAAGCCTATTCTAGATCCTAAATTTATTATGCCAAGTATGGGTTAGTTGACTTAAACACATTAGTAAAATATTGGCCGCAAGATAATTTTTCTGGTTATGTAACGAGTACCTAGGTGAATTATGAATAAAAGAGAGAATTACCATATACGCTTTACATTTTGGCGACATGCACTGTAATGGGCAAGGCGGGATTTTGTCGATCACTGGCTCGTCACAGGGATAGCATTTCTTCTCCTCCATTTTTGTGGCATTAAATTTCCAATTCAAAAGTAACGATATCTATTTAATTTATTTCCGGTGTTTCGTACAAAAATATTTACAGGTTATTTATGTCAAAAATATTGTTTACATTTGTTGATGTTGTTATGTAAATTAAAGAAAGTTACAGTCGAAATCTGAATTCAGTCCGTGTACTTTGTCTATGACTATTTAAAAAGTTAATATATTCAGTTTTATAGGCTTCTAGCTGTGCTCCGCGGTGTTACCCGCAGTTTATTAGGGATATTTTCCCGTAGTAAAACGTAGCCTATGTGATAATCCAGGTTATGAGCATAGTGCCTAAAATGCAAGATGCCACTGCTACAGTAATGCTTAACACCCGAATCTGAGAGCCGAATAGCTATTTACATACTTAGATTAAAACAAAAAGGTAGATACGACACTAGCCTCACAAAAGTGATCCGCATGAATTGAAAAATACTGTTTGTTTTGAATCTTATTCGGTAATGACGTCGAGTACTGGTTGCGTGATTGGTCGGTAGTGCAGTGACGCGGATCTCGCCGTCTCGTTCGCGCTGCCGTTGAAACTTAACGTGCTGTTTCGTTCGGGTCGGTAATGCAGTGACGCGGATCTCGCCGTCCCGTTCGCGCTGCCGTGGGATCAGTTTTTGTTTGATGCAAGTATGAGCGTACCGTATCTACCCTTTTTGTTTTAATCTAAGTTTACATAGTCGATATCACGCCATTACATCAAACGACTATATGCAATCGGTTCAGCAACTTCGACTGGAGATCTTTAATTCAAAAGAACCGGTAAATTTAGAGAATGCTGTTTTCTCCCTATTTTATTTCTCACTATCAGGATTCGAAACTGTTTTCTTTAGAGTACCTATCTTTGGCTGTTCAGTACTCTTAGTACGAGTTTGAGCAAACGAAAACTATCATATTGTAAATTATGTTTCTATGTCCGTTTTGGTCAAAAGTAACCAAATATTCTTAAAATTTAAGAAGACGCAAACGATTTAATGATAGAATTTAAACACTGTTTATTTGTATTGAAACGAAAACAATAAAATCAGTACCCTTAGTACGAGTGCGAGCTCACGAAAGCTATCATAGTTTTCGTAATTGTAAAACTCGTACTAAGGGTACAGATCAGTGGTGAAGTTATGTAACTTCATAAGTCCAGCACGGGAGATTAACCTCGATCTCATTTAAATTTGTTGAGAACTTAATTTACTCATGTATTTTTTTTAAAACACTTATTTATTTACTACATTTTAAGTTGATGAATCTCTTATCTATTAGACAAGTCCGTCCGTCTGTGGTGCTGTTTCAGCGGCCAAACCGTAAGAGATAGATAAAGAGAATATTTATCTTATCAGACTATTCTTATAAGTTAAGAATAGTCTGATAAGACTACAAACCGGATTTGAGTAACGTAGCACTTCCGGTTTTCGAGAAATCACGAATTTCAAACGAAACCACACTAAATCTCCGAAGTTCTCAATTAATTAATAGTTATTTATTATACAAGAGTGGAAAGTTCCTTTTTAACCGCGTGCTCGATTTGGATGACCGAGCAAGCGAAGGATTCTAAAGTTGAATCACGAGCGCAGCGAGTGATTCTAAATTAGAATCCTGAGCGTCAGCGAGGGAAACAAACGAGCACAAGGTGAAAAATCTTTCCACTCGAGTGCAATACGTAACTTTTCATCCCACCTCAGCGAGGAAATGACAAAATGAAAAAGAAAACAATTTATAATGACAAAATATTTAAGCAATAAAACGTGAAAAACTAGAATGGCGCGAAGCACGCAAATAAAACAAAGAAACCAAGAAGGTTCCAAATTTAAATTTTTTCACAATTTAAAAAGTTCTAATCATAAATTTGGCACCATAGAGGTTACATTAAATAGGTTTAATGACGTTTTGAATTTACAATTATATTGAGTACTCATTATATGTGATGTTCTAAATTCAAATCTACTTTGCCGCTCAAGCGAATAAAATAGAATTTTCCAGCCAGATTTCGAAGCGCAAAATTACACTTTCCGAGGTGGTGGGATGAAAATACATTTTTTTTTAAATCAGGTTTTGGTGAACATTTGGTTCACTGGTTTGCTAGTATAACATAATTTTGATGTAGAGGATTCGATAGTTGGTAGAGTAGCCCCATCAGAATTCGAGGCGTCGAGATGCAGCCAGGGCGGTCGAATGGGTGGGAAAGACAGGGAAAGAAGAGGACGATTTATTAGAATAATATAAGCGAAATACGTATGAATTATCCTATGTAATATAACAAGATTATTTTAGTTAAAGATTTTGAAATATACAGGTAAAAAGTCAGCAACTGCTGCTTATGTATCATATACTGGTGTTGGCTGCGGCTTCCATTTTCGTAGATAAATGGTTTACAAACATTCCTCCTCTAAAGTGTCATTTACATGTTTTATCTTGTTTGCAAAAAGTTGCAAATTTTCTTCTCAAGGTTTTCGTTAATTCGATACACTACTTAGTAAAATTCGTAAAAATGTTGTTCATCATCACCATCAGCCTATTAATGTCCCCACTGCTAGGGCACAGGCCTTCCCTATGCATGGAATAGGGAGATTGGGCCATGACCCACCACGCGGGCCCAGTGCGGATTGGCGGGTGCTAACGACTGCAGATGCAGCCGGGACCAACAACTTAACATGCCTTCCGAAGCACGGAGGAACTCGAGATAGATGATTTTTGGTCACCCATCCAATGACCGACCACTGCGAAAGTTACTTAACTTCAACGACGAAAAATAATAATTATATCTTATAAGATTATTATTAAGTATGTTATATTAAAAATATACGCGATATGAAATGTAACCTTCATTTTTTAAGTAAATTCTGTGATCTGTGATTCATACAAGGTTTTAATAATTATGTCAGCCCCAGTAACCGTGATGCGTCGTCTTCGCCGTCAAAGACAAACTTTTGGATGTCGCTCAATAACAATGGATGGTCCATGAGCCACGACCACTAATAAACAGCTGTGAATTTAATAAGATCCATTAGGAACGAGGACTTGTTGTTATGAAACTAGCATCAATCAATTATGAAACAATGTCACAAACGATTCTCCTGTATAATTTGAAAAAAAAACCGTTTATTATTTGTTAGTTTTCTTGTTAACTTTTTTTTTTCAAAAGACGAAAAAGGGCGGAGTATCCTATCAAGTCGACGTGTATATATATTTTTTTATATATAATCACGCATAACTTTCTTCAGAGAAGTCTGTTTTTGATAGTTCTTTTTTTATTGAAAAGGAAATCTTCCTCTGAAATTGTTCCCATAAAAATTTTAGCATAAAACCTTTTTTAGGGTAACTCCCCTTCATGTAAAGTCCCCATTTTACGTGAGTTTATTTTTCCATCGTTTACCCCATCGTGTGGGGTGTCGTTGAGTTGGCCCTTTAAGACGACTAAGAGGTTGCTAAGACTATTTTTCAATTTAGGGATCCGTTTGTGAAATATTAAACCTTATAGTGCAAATTTTTGTTCGAGTAGCTAAACTCTAAAAGCTTAAACTATTGGCTTGAAAAATCTGAAAAAATACATGATAATAGTGCTTTTCATGAACTATTAAAGAAAATTATGACCGTTAAGACAGATCGCCTAAAACCTTGAATTGAAGAACAAAATTTAAAAAACTATTTAAAAAATCCACAAAAAATTTCTACGGAACCCTTCACTGCGCGTAGAAAACACTTTACCGGTTTTTATTGGATAGGGTATACCTTGAAGTTGGTCCATGATAAATTTGGAAACAAAAGGACATTGGGCAAAAATGTATGGACGCTGCACCCACGTCCGCCACGGCATAAAATACATTTGTTTCAAAGGTATTATAGTCACGATCATCTGTGCCAAAGCGCATCAAATTCCATCCCGGGGGTCTTTAGTTATTTTAAGTTAAATAGGTACAAGTACTATAACGAGCGAACATTAATGAAAAAAAAAGGGAATTAATTTAGTTAGTTAGATCGACCATACATACAGGGCTCAGGAATTATGGAAGTACTTCACAAGGTGAAGGTGCCCCCTTATGTTATTCTGCCGTGCTAAAGTAAATCCAAAAATCCTCGCATGGGTTAGGGTTTTTACAAACAGTCTGTTATAGTAAATTGTCTTCTATGTAAAACGGA